TAATCAATATTATTATTGACATTGATATCGTTTTATCAATATACTATATTAAATTTGTGCATATATTACTGTTAAAGCGATAATATTGATACAATGAGATATAAGCATTTCTGCATGTAATTGACTAAAATTTTTAATGTAATATTTTACTTTGTTTTCATTTTAAGTCTTAAAAGTCTTCTGTGTATTTTATGCTTTGTATTTTATGTTTTATAAGAGTGCATTGCAATTTGGACTATACACATTTCAACTGTCCAATANAATGACTGAATAGGAATTCTGTGCAACAATCTTAAGGAAACTCAATGAGACACATACACACAAAAATCATATACACAACACAACAAAATGAAAAAAGCAATCCAGGATATGAAAAAAGGAACTTTGTAGAGATATGAATACCTTTAAACATAAGATAGCAGAACTCATGGAAGAGAAAGATTCATTCAATGAAATAAAAAGATACAACTGAGAGTTTAAGCAGCAGGCTAGCACAGGCAGAAGAAAGATTTCTATCATCAAAGACTGGATTTGTGAAAAAACTCATGTAGACAAAAAAGAAAGAAAGAAAGAAAGNCCTATCTCTACCTTTAGATCTGCTAATATTTGCTTTATGTATCTGGGCACTTCGGTGTTGCATGTGTATATAATTATAATTGTTATATCCTCTTGCTGTACTGATCCCTTTGTCCTTATGCAATGTCCTTTGTTGTCTCTTACTACAAATTTTGATTTAAAGTCTGTTTTATCTGATATAAGGATAGCTACTCCTGCTTACTTTTGCTTTCCATTTGCATGGAATGTTTTTTNATTTACTTCCATGAAGAAAAGAAAATTGTGTATGATAATCTATGCGTTTGATTTTAAGATCCACAGGGCCTCAGAAAATGGAAACACCATTATAGAAGAGAAAATATTCAAATTATATTTTATACTTATGTTGGACCTTATAAGACATGTAGTACCTTTACAATTCAAGGATAGTGAATTTAGGTGGTGGGACATTTTTAGGAAAGGCATAGAAGTGCCTTTAAAGAACATGACAGAGAATCAAGGAATATGTNCATTTTTAGGAAAGGCATAGAAGTGCCTTTAAAGAACATGACAGAGAATCAAGGAATATGTTAAATTTTAAAATATCAAACTCATAGAAGTAGAGAGTAGAATGGTGGATACCAGAGGCTGGGGTGGAGGGGAGGGAAAGGGGAGATGCTGTTCAAGGGGTTGAAGTTTCACTTAGACAGGAACAATAAGTTTTTGAGATATATTACACAGCATGGTGATTATAGTTAATAAT